AAAAACGAAACACACACACTTCAAATATTTCCAGTGTGCATTCATAACTCAATACGATCCTCTAATAAGGGAAGATAGCCTGTAAAAATACATCGAATTTTTTTTAAATTTAGTTGTGTTTGTAAAAGCACATAAGTTGTGCATTGTACGCGGGAAAGTATAGAAACATCATGTTAAGAAAATCAATGCATAAGAAAGAAGGAAATATATAATGAGTGACGTCCCACTAATAACTCTGTCTTATACCGTTTAGTTGAGTACATGTTTTCATATAACGAGTTTTCAAAATTATGCATTATATGGGAAGCGATGGAAAAAGTGCTCCGATCCGAACCATTTCCAATGGCGTTCATCACTGAGCCAAAACACGTCATTGTATTAAACTCCATCCAAATATTTCAAATTTGCGGCCGGTAAATTGAACATAAGAAAGCATGGCGGACTGATGGACGGACAACCTTAAACGTATTCAGTTTATATGTATGTACAGAGTACCGTGTACAACGTCCACTACAACGGTTTTTAGGCAAAAATCGACTGAAGTTGTACGGATGAGAGCTATTACAAAATTCAAATCAATTTCATTTTAATGCGAAGAGTACGGACGCTATCAATTTTTACACGTTTATGTACCGGCATCATTCATTTGCGTAACACAATCGATTATAAACAAGCTAAAATGCTTTAACCGGGCAAATCGGAAATAGTTCGCAAACACTTTTCTTATTGCAATCGAAACTTAACAATTTAACGAATATCGTTTTATAGAATTATGTAACATAAAAATTTATAAAAATGATATTTGAAAAAGTTCTTACATAATAGAAGATTCCAAACGTGAGCCGCTATGATTCAAATTTCGTACATTTCAAGGTTTTGTATTGAAAAAAGGCATAATTTTCCACTTATGTGGAGTGCTTGCAATTAAATCGAACCAGCATAGGAAAATTTATTACTCATGAGAAACTGAAGTATAATATACTCCGGAAAATAGGTCAAATGTATTGGGTTCTATCACAGTACCATCGTATTTGATACCTGCTCGTGAGGACTACTTTCATTGCCCTTCGCAAGTTAAATACGCACAGTGCACAGTGAGTAAAGTGCAGCCGAAAAAGTGGATAAAGTGCATTTCAGAAAACAAGCAACGCATAGAATGCTTCTAAAACCTTGTGGGACACGTTCGAAACTGAATTTGTAAATGTTTGAACCTGTTAGGTCAAAGATTCTTTGCCAAGTTTCGTCCAAAGAAAGTCGTCGACTTGCGCGATAATGGCATTTTTCAGTCCATGGTGGAAAATAACATAATGACACAAAGCATTTTCAAATTCAAAATGTTTTATTTAAAATACGAGAAAACTTTCCCATCAATCTAATCTATGTCGAACCATAAAATTATTAAAAATTACACGTCGTTGCCGCAAAAAAGCTCTATTTTTGTACAACATTTTAATCGATGAGAGAGCGTTGAAAAAAATTATGTCTTTGCATCCAAATATTTCATATATACGTTCAAATTTATTCAGTATGCGCATGTACTATATATCACCGATTTGTTTTGAGAAATATATAAAATGCAAATTTTTTTCATGTAATGATTATTTCAATTTTATGTTGAGGGCGGTCGTAAGAATGGTGCGAGCCGATCAGTTGTCAATGAATCTCGCCCTTAGCTGAAAGTAGCTCAGTGAACCAAATATCTCCATTAATGTGGCTTTTATAATGAACACTGAATTCATCGACAGAGATCAGACGATCTATGGACGAAATGGTGTATGATCCTTGTCTGATTATTGCGTTTTAACTTGTTATATTCACTAGCGAAGGAATCGACCGCAGGGAAGAAACCTTTAGAAATTCTACAAAATATATTAATTGTCGATCAATATCAAATACTGAATTGATTGAAGTGTGTCTCTCTATCTATGTGTCGGTCTGTCCGTATCTGTCCGTATGTGCAATGTCCCGGTCGCAAAAATGTGGATAACGGTTTCAAATGAAGCAAAAACACTGGAAGTTCTTGTAAACAGTTTGGTATTGAAAACGACCCAAATCGGTTGAAGAACATGGGCTACAGTGAAGAAAAGTCTTTTTTCAAGGCCAAACAAAAAAATAGCTTTTTTGCTCGTTACCCACAAATTGCAGGACATAGAATTATGACAAATTCCGCGTATTATCTGTGATTTCTTTTTACGCAGCCTATTTTATGGGATTCTATAGTCTTTTGATTTTTCCTTTTTTTTATGATAAAAGCGGCGGATGTAAAAGATTCGATTACAGCCAAAGATAGTTTTCTTACTTATTAATAAGTTTGCTTGATTTCTGCAAAACCAGTCAAACTAGATTTATGCGACAGCCATTTAAGTCTTCTATGGATATACCAAAAATTTGGAGTGGATTTATGCCTTCGAAAATTTCTTAGAAATTCTCTTCTCTTCTTTGTGTAGGGTAATGTTGTGTTAGAAAAATGCCATATCTGAGAATTTGAATTTTCATGAAAATTATTCGATTTTCTAAGTAAAAACGAATTCCAAAGAAATGGGAAAACGAAGCACACATTCATAGCACGTTACTTGCGTCATGTAGCAGGCGATTCATAATAATTAGCAGGACATTTAGCGGAAAAACGGATGAATTTAGGTACAGTAACTTGCTTGTTAAAGGATATATAAGCAAAATATTTGCAGTAGACAAATTCAGCCAAAAAGTGAGTGGGGGAAGTTAGGCGAAAGTTAGTCGCGACAGTCGAGTCAAGAGTGAATGAATGGCAAGATTCGAACGGACAAGATCAGAACGTGAATTAAAGCATTGCAAATAGAAGTTGCTGTAAATAGTTCGTAAACAGATATCGTAAAAATTGTAAATAAACCGTATACTATCCCAAAAGAGATTTGAATAAATGATGTAAAATTATGCAAAACGGGTTACGGTTGAAGTGGTTGCTCTATGTCAATGCAGTGTATGACAAGCAATAATGATAATTGTCTTCGAAGTGCTTTTGTTTCTTTATTATAATAGCTTCAATGATTATTCGATGCTGTACGCTCAAGTCAAGTGTAGCTTAGCGAAATTACGGAACTCACTTACTAGTAAAGACACAAATGTGGGTCAGGCGCAATAGGCTAACTTTATGCTAGAAGCAAGTTCGTTTCCATTCAGGAGGTATATTAATTACGTAAGATTAATAAAAAAAGCGAATATTTTTAGCGCGAATTCAAAACTGATAACAGCTATTGAATGTGTGTGCAAGTTTGAGATCGACTTCCTCATAATCAGCAAAATGCATCTTTGGAGAGGTTCGTAAATATCAAACGTAATTTAAGGTTACTAGAAAACACTTTTACTTATGCAACGTACAATGTAGTGTAAATTATGATGAGCATGAGCGTTTTAGGCGCCAAGAATATTTCTCTTTTAGTTTGTACAATACTCTATAGATATGTTACACTCAATCGGGCGATTCTCTTTTTGTTTGTATGTATACATCGTTCCTTACAAATTTTACGATATTGTGAAGCGTAACTCGATCGGATAATAGCTTATCAATTGTAACCTAATCAGAAGAAGTGATGTGTGCTGAAAACAGGCGTTAGGGTACCACAGTTTAGTGGTGCTAACAACTTTTCCTGAGAGAGTCTTGTTGCAAGGGTCATGGAAAACTGACGACATCATGAGTTTTGACATGTTTGCGCCCGTTTTTCACCCTAACCGTACCACTTCTTCTTGATTGACAGTTTCTGGTGACAATTACATTTGGTTGACGCCACCCTCGCTTCCTAAGTCGAGTCACCATGGAGCATGGATTCAGCATTATGGCCGAGTTTAATGGTTTACTTAATCTGCATTTACTTAAACTTTTGATATCGTAATGGAGTGGCATAATGCTTGGAATTAATTGAAAAAAAAAAAAAAAAAACAAATTTCTCTCAAGTGGTGTCCTTTCTTTTATACAACTCATTGGACACTGAAAGATTTCAAAAATTAATTTGTTTAAACTTTCCTTGACAGCTTCCGTTGCACCGTAAAGCTTAGAGGCAATACTTCTCAGAGGGAAAGGATACTTATACAAGTTGTACGACCTTGTAGTGATACTAATTACATTGCGTTCTCCGAAAATAGACAGAACTTGTTTAATTCCCATTGTTCGTAGACTCAACAAAGGAAACATTTTTGTATTCCGTAATAAATCTACGATTTTCTGTAATTTTTGCTAATTTTGTTTAATTATATACATTTGAAGCATTCATTAAAAACGTAAGAGATCATCGCACTGATACATACATACATTTTGCTTATAATACTCATATCGCGCTTCCAGAAACATGTATTTATAGCTTTGTGTGTTTATTTAATTCGTTTGAATATAAATTTATGAATCATTCGGTTAAAAAATATTTCAAAATTTAAAGAAAAGGTGTCGTAATCACTTTCCTAATTAAATTCATTTCTTTTATTTTAAATTAAAATTCTTGACAAATTTTATTGTAAACATGACAACACACTGAAGCCTTTATGCAGAGTATTTGATGTTCCTTTCAATCTCATTCATTCTTTATTAACGTGGTTTTGCCTAAGCTAACTAACAAACATATAAATGGTTTCTTTATTTATTTCTTTTTGTTTTTTTTAAATAACATAACGAGCCATGAATGAGTTTTGCGCAAAATTTCATATCTGTTTTGAAAATTATTGTTCTGTTTCTTTGTGCAGCGTTATATGCACCACATATACAGCGGCCGGTTTATAGTTGCCGATATATCGAATAAACTCGATAGCTGTCGATTATCGACTCGCTGTAATGAGTAGTAAGCTTATAGCAGTCAAGACAGTATGCATTTTTCTCGCCATCGAATGAAAAAGCCCTTGAATCATAGAATTTGCCGCCGAGGAACATGTACAAATTATGATTGGGTTTACTCGATATCAACAGCTACAAACCCGCCGCATATTTACTGGGCATTGAATATAAGAAGACTTCATGGAGATTTATATATACGTACGTTTACAAACTCGGCGATGATTTAAGGGTTTGGAAGGATCACGATAGAAACCTTCTTTGCAATAATGACAAAATCGACCCGTGGTCGCATGACGACAATTTTGACAAACTCCGCCAGATACACGTCCAGATAATTTGAATAGTTCCATGTTGAAACGGCATTGGCGCGCATGATTGTTGCAGTTGCAAACTGTAAAAGCAAAAGAAAACAAAGAAAAAACAAAATGAAAAGAAATGTTAATGAAAAAGTCTTTTAAAGAATATATATATATATATATATATATATACTTATGTTAGTTTTTGATGTCATATTACTTTTTTTTATCTACATTATTGCTTTGTTGATTTATAATAAATTGCTTGCTTTTCCGATGGCATCTGAAACGATCAACTAATTACCGCCACAAACGCGTATTTTTGGACTATTTTCACTTTATTACTAACGATATTTTGTATTTGGGACTTTCTGAGAAGAGTAGATAAATAAACGTTTAACTAGCTGATCAACATTCTGACATTAATGTGGATAATCCCGATTTCGGAAAAAATTACACTTTCTTAATTACATCCTTCAAATCGGAAACGAAACGATGCTCCATAATTTCGGATATATCCATACTCGTATGAAAGACTCCGAGGCGACGCGGGCCTTGAGCTTGTCGTCTAATTATTCACATAGGCATCTGTAGAGAAGGTCGGTAAACTTGACTTGAGTTCTTATTGGTGTAGGACAACTTAAGCAAATGAATGTTGGCCGATTGTCAGTGTCATTGCCGTCATTAAATCTTTCTCTGAGAAGTATAGCGCAGTCTTAATCTTTTGGTTTTTTTTTTTTTTTTTTTTGGTTTAAATCGGAACTGACTTTCTTTACGACTAATCAAGACAATAGCATTCTTTGTAAGAAAGTGAAAACGGTTAAAGAGTACCCACTGCTGATTTGAGGTTCAAGCTGATTGGTAATATAGTGGGACATAGTGAAGCTAGTTGGAGTTAGAACTCATGTCAATGACTGCAAAAAAATTTAAGCTATGGTAAAAAGACAGGCTACCACGACCCCATATACTTTTAACCTATTAGCTTAAGCGACAAAATCACGTTGCCATAAACATAAAATTGCTTTTAAAATTTATAGACAATAAACAAATAAATTTTCCTATAAAGACTTTTTAAAAGTGAAGTAAGGCGTGATACAGGGGACAAGCGTCAAGCACAATGACGTGACTACAAATTTCAAAATGCATTGAAAATTATGCCCCGTAGATTAGACATCAATATACACAGACAGATAATATTGTTTTAGAAACGATATTGAATTGATCGATATAAAAAGTGGATCGACATTAATTAAGTCTTCGGTTGTGTTGCATTCACCCAAATAAATTTAATGTACCCTAACGTACTATAAGGGTAAAAAAAATATTATCCTTCGGTTAAAATCATTTCATTGTTAGTCTTTAACATCTTCTTCAGAAGACGTTGTCTAACTACGATGCATACCTGCAACAGCCAGCATAAGGCCTTGCAACAACCTTTATATAAAGTTATTCGTGCATCTTACTTTGATGAATAAATCTCTTAATAGAATAAATTCAATGCAAAGCTCTCTGCCATGTTTTGAGCTGTCTTTCATAAAAGAACGAGAAATTTCTAATTATCATTTTGTAACTACTTCAACCAATTGTTCACCATATGACACAATCCCAGTTTCAATTTTAGCGGTAAGTATTCCTTTACATAAACTGGCAATGAGACACGCTTATAGAGCGAAACTAACTGGGACTCTGGAATATACGAAAGAATATAACTTGGTGTTCTTCTGTGAGAAGAGAAAATCGGGCACGATCTAGGCCATACCATTGTTAACATGGAGTCGGCTAATAATGAAAGCTCTTAGGACGATAAGGGGTAGCCATAAGAACTATCTGACGTACGATGAAGAAATTCTTGCAATTTCTTGCTTCAGTTCGCCGTCTATCATGGGGAACTGATGTTTTTTTCAGTATGCTCGGTGATTTCATTTATTGTATTATGTTCGCATAAAGATCTCTACAAAAGTCTTAAACTCTTCAACTAAATTAAATTATATTAATTCTGATCTGCATTCCCTTCGTCTTTAATTATTTTTATATTCATTCATTCTTCTCTGCCTGCATTCAGCCGAATTAAGCCACACTTTTTAGCTTAAAGGCTTAATCTGTGGCATTATGGAGCAAGATATCGATCAGCAGGAACGGCAAAGTTCAAAAATTTTGCAGTTCAAACTACACAAATTATAAAATATGTTTTCTCATTTTTTTTTTTTTTTCGGGCAGGATGTACCAAGAAGCGCACATATCTCTAAGTAATTACACACAAAAAAATTACTGCCACAAAGTACGGTTTACCTTAGTGAAATTGGAACGCGCGAACACCGCCTTAAGAGCCGCGAGTAAGCTTATGAACGGAACATATTTTTATTGCTCGTGCAAAAACTTTCGTCAATCAACGGTAACGACATCAGTGGCTTCATCGAAAATTGACATGAGTGACAAAAGCTTATTCGCATTAATTTGTATCGCCATTATAGAAGACTACAATCATATTCGCCAAATAATTTGATAACATTCGTATGATCTTAATCATGAATTGTATTTTATTACATTGGTAGTGTAGCGAAATTCAAATTGCAGACTATAGCACCACAAATCCAACCTGAGTCTTTCGTCTGAGAGACGGACGGCCTTAGCCGCAAACTGTACGATAATTGACTCTCTTCGCTTATTCTTGTGAGATTTGATCACAAAAATTTTGAAAGGAGGAACGAGCTTGATGAGTATTCCTTGCGTGGACGTGAACGTGCTAGCCACCCAAAGCAAATATATATAAGTCCCCAACTTTTATCTTATTTATAAATCGATCAGACCATCGTTAACAGCGTTAACTTGCAAGCCATTGATAATGATATCTGAAGACTTTTGAGATTACATTCTGATCTATGCATTTTAAGTAAAATACGTTAAAAGAATATTTATAGGCTAGCACCTACCATTGAATGCCCTATACCATTTTGCTTAACGTAAGGACTTGATAGAAGGGCTTTTCAAGCTAACGCATTATACGTGAAGTGAAAGTAACAGTGTTCCGAACTGAACCATTTTTAATAGCGTTCGTCCTTCGGCCAAAGCACGTCGGTGTAACAAATTACAGCAAAATATGTGAAAATCTGCAGCCGATAAATTGATCACAGATTGATAGATATCAGACGGACAGATGGACTCACAGACAGATAAGCTTAAATCGTTTCAGAAAATCATTGTGAATTGTTCGGTATAATGAAAAGTGTTTATAGCTTATGTGCTTCTACACGTTGTACACGATCTCGCATAAACTTCATATACCCTTGTACCATAAATGGTGTACGGTGTAAATATATACATTTCAGTAGTCTTGTTCAAACTTTGAAAGCAGAAAACGTACGGACACACGAACCAATTGATTCGCTAATACCAAATATATTTTTACCTTTGATAGAACCTTTGGAAGTCACAAAATAGATAACAAAGCTAAAATGTCTTTCTTTGTGCTAGCGATGCTAAAAATAACAAAAAAAAACATGTACATATATTTATTTAAAAAACAATTTTTGTTTTTTTATATACATATAGCTTTTTCTGGTTTGCTATGGGTTTAAGTCATTTAGCCACCGCGGATATTTTGCGAAAATTCGTTTGATTTTTAAATCTAAAATAAAATAGTATAAATACATACAGCAGTATTTGAATTGGTTCGATGCTGAGATTTTGGAGGAGGCGGACACAGCTGTGTTCCCTCAAAATATCAAGTTGACCAAACAAACAAAAAAAAAAAAAAAAAAAAGAAAAAAAAAAAGGAAAAAAGGAAAACGCATAGTTCTAAAGACAACGAAGCTTAATTTTGGCAAAGTAAATTTTGGTATGCGTGCTGCTACCTCGAACGCTGAGTATAATTGACGAATTAAATCGTAATGCATTTCAGAGCAATAACGGCAGTGGAAAATAAACGCACCGCAGCAACTAGAGCGACCAAAAGTATCACTGCATATATATATGTTAACGGAAATTTATAAATAAAGAAAGAAACGCATCATAACGAACTATACTTGCCTTAGGACGAATCTTGGATACCTACAGGTCGAGATAAATAATTTTTCTTTCGTATCGGTATAGCGATTAGGCGAGCAAAAAAATCATTTGCCATCAGAGGATAGCTAACGTAAGTTATAGTTCGACTAAATTCAAAATATTAATTTTTCAATTCTTTGATTTTCTTATTTCCCTTGGCTATCGCAGTAAAGTGGCCATCTCTCTCTTTTACCAAGTTAAGTTTCAGTTTGTTTTGCCCCAAAATATTTCAATTTTAGAAATGATGTTAACAAATGAAAGCAAACAAGGGCAAAGCTGATCTAGGAAAGCAGGCGGAAGCCGTGAATTTTGTTTCTTGTTTTATTGAATGAAATGAAATTCAAACGAAATCCGGATAACTTTGTTCTGCACAGTTGCAGGTATTTAAAGTAAAAGCCAGAGAGAATCTAGTAATGCAAAGTGTAAATAAATTGTGGGGGAAAAAAAAAATGCTATAAAAATAAAACTCCATTGCGGATTTCAGCTGCAAAAAATTTTAAATAAAAATGTCTTCGAAACAAATGATTTTTAAAAATAACTTAAACAACCGTTCGTGTTTTTTTTTTTTTTTTCTTATAAACAGTTTGTTGTGCAATACGAACAAAGGAAGCGACAGCATTAGCTGCTTACACAGAGACCTCACAAGAAACAGCAGCCATAATAATAATAATAATAATAACAATGACCACTTTCTTCTGATATGACACATCTGAATTTATGTATAATTATTGCTTAAAAATGAAAAAAAGTGAATAAAATAAAAAATAAAAAAATAAAAAACACAACATTTTTGTTTGCATTTACGTGTGAAGACGTTGTTCCTCCATTAAAGGAAAACCTTTTTTTGAATTATTGCTAATGCGTATAACGTATATTTAATTTGGAAATTAATTAATAAAGGTTCCATTAGCTGTGTGTGTTGGGAAATTAATTAAGTACTAATTGATAATTAAGTTCGAATTCTTTAACAGTTATGCGCAGCTTTTGGGCAGAATGCCTGGATTTAGTTTTTGCTTTACAGTAAATTGTGTTCGAACTTGTCGCGGGCTAT